CCCTAGTGATCCATTGTGCATCCTTTTTTTTCTAGTAAAGACTTACTTTATCAGACCTGGTGCGGTGGCCTAGTAGCTAAAGTCCTCACTTTGAACACGCTGGGATCCCATATGGGCACCAGTTCTAATCTTGTCGGCCCCATGTCCCATCCAGCTCCCTGCTTGTGGCCTGAGTAAGCAGTCGAGGATGGCCAAGTGACCACGGTGGTTAAAGCAGGACCAGATTGAAGCTTCTTCCCAGTTCTCCCCTATCAGTACAGGGAATCAAGCACTTGGAACATCCTCTGCATTGCCACATGCACTAGAAGGGAGCTGGATCAGAAATAAAGCAGCTGGGCCTGGCATGATAACCTAGTGGGTAAAGTCCATGCTTTGCACATGTTGAGATTCTGTATCGGTGCTGGTTCTAATCCCAGCAGCCCCACTTCTCATCCAGCTCCCTGATTGTGGCATGGGAAAGCAATGGAGGATGACCCAAACACATGGGACCCTGCACCTGTGTGGGAGACCCGGAAGAAGCTCTGGGTTCCTGGCTTCAGATCTGCTCAGCTCCAGCCATTGTGACCACTTAGGGAGTGAATTAGCAGATGGAAGATCATCTTCTTTGTGTCTCCTCCTCCTTCTTCTTTTTTAATATATAATGCTTTCCAATAAAAGAAATGTTTATAAAAAAATAAGAAAGAAAAAGAAATGCAGCAGCTCCGACTTTCATCTGACAAGCAGTGAAAGAACCCACTTTGTCCCGACAGCCCTGATCCACTCTACTACTGTGATAGCAATTTTAATTTGTCCCTCTACTTTTTGATGTTATGTACTTGAGCCTGCTTTTTGATTAATGTGGTAAAAGGTTTATTGATTTTGTTTTCCTTTTAAGAACTATGAATGTTTCCACAAGCAGGGAGCTAGATGGGAAATAACCAACCAGAATATGAACCAGTTCCATAGGAAGAAGAAATAGAAATTTTGGAAACAATGGGCATATCAAGTTTTCCCTAACCCTAGAACCTTCCCACCCTGATCATCTATGTAAATATCATCCGCAATAAACAAAGAAAATTCACATATACATATATGTATATATTTTAAAGCAGATATACAGAAAGAAGGGGATACAAAGATTCTCCATCTGCTCTCACTCCCAAAGAGTTGCAATGGAAGGAGCTGGGCTGATCAGAAGCCTGGAGGTTCTTCTGGACCCACCACACAGGTTCAGGGTCCCAAGGCTTTGGGCTGTCCTTTACCACATTTGCACACCACAGGCAGGGTGCTGCCTAGGAAGTGGATTAGCCAGGACACACACTGGCACCTGTATGGCATCCCAGTGCATGCAATGTGAGGGCTTTCACCTCTAGGCTATTGTGCCAGGCTCCTTTTCCAATTTCTCTATATCTGGTTTTCAAATAAATAAATGATTCTAAAACAGGGAAGCAAAAAATTCCAAATCTAAACAGAAGTTATGTTCCATTAGGAAATATTAGGTTTTTGGTTTTTTGTTTTTTTCTAGAGAGATTGTACTTGTATTATGAGCTTTTTGTATTCTTAGGGTTTCCGTATCACTCTTTTTTTCTTTTTAAAGATTTGTTTTTATTGCAAAGTCAGATATACAGAGAGGAGAGACGGTGAGGAAGATCTTCCATCCGATAATTCACTCCCTAAGTGAACACAACTGCCAGTTCTGCGCCAATCTGAAGCCAGGAACCAGGAAGTTCTTTCTGAGTCACCCACATGGGCGCAGGTTTCCAAAGCTTTGGGCTGTCCTCGACTGCCTTCTCAGGCCACAAGCAGGGAGCTGGAAGGGGGAAGTGGAGCTGCCAGGATTAGAGCTGGTGGCATATGGAATCCCAGAATGTTTAAGGCAAGGTGGCTAGGCCACCACACCTGGCCCTCTATTTCATTCTTAATAATTTGTCAAATATCGTGACACAGAAGTTCCATGTGTTGTTCAAATTGGCAACTTTTATCTTTCAAGCTCCATGTGACCTTAACAACATATGCATCCTCTGTTCGGTAAGGAAATGATCAAAGGACCTCAGTAGACAGTTCCCAAAACTTAGGCATTTGGGAAATGTAGATCAAAATCACAATGAGATCTCCACCCTGTCAGAATGACTATTATTATTTGGAAGAAATTGGTAACAAATGCTCGTGAGAAAGTAAAACATGGGAACTTTTATATATTGCTGATGGAGTTATAGATTAAGTCAACACGTGAAAAATAGTATCAAATTTCTTAAAGGTTTAAAAATAAGATTGCTGGGCTCAGAACAGTGAACTAGCAACTAAATTCCTTGCCTTGAATGTGTTAGGATCCCATATGGGCGCCAGTTCTAATCCCGGCAACTCCACTTCCCATCCAGCTCCCTGCTTGTGGCCTGGGAAAGCAGTCATTGATGGCCCAAATCCTTGGAACCCTGAACCCATGTGGGAGACCCAGAAGAGGGTACTGGCTCCTGGCTTCAGATCAGCATAGCACCAGCTGTTGTGCTCACTTGGGGAGTAAATCATAGAAAGGAAGATCTTCTCTGTCTCTCCTCCTCTCTGTATATCTAACTTTGTAATAAAAATAAATATCTTTAAAAAAAGAAAGAAACATCCTAAATACAGATATACAAGTATGATATTTTGTTATGTAGAGTAGCTTAAAGAATCACAAGCAGCAACAATAAAGGTGGGGAAGAAACAATGGTATATATCAGTATTGATGCAAACATGATTTGTTACATTTGATCTCTATCTTTGTCACACAGTGAATGATGATATCCTACTGTAGTTTAAATGATATGTGTTTGTAAATTGTATGATTGAAACATCTTTTCATTTCATTATATTTATAGTGCTTACCTATCAAATTGGTCATTTTACTATTCTTTGAATCACTTGCTGAAAAATTAAGATCTTGAGTACAATGTGAATTTAAAACATGTTATTTCCAATGCTTAAGAGAGTAACAGGGGAAAAGGGAAGATTCAAAAGAAGTATCATACTGTTAAATGTATGTATATCTGCTACCTGAGCTGTTTTCATGTTAAAATCAATAAAAATTAATTAAAATTTAAAAAAAAGAATTAGGTTTGTTATAGCATGGCATTTGTCTTATATGTATATCTTCTGTTCAGCTGGCAGGCTGTGACTGGCTGATGCCAACTAATTGTCAGAAGAAGATAGTTCTGTATGAGACTCTCATTTGTTTCCCTCCTAAGCTGTAGTTTACTATGTAGAAATTAAAACTTCAGTTTAATTATGTTATTCCATAAAAAGTAAAGCAAAAAGAAAGTAGAAAGTTTTAAACTGTGCATATTCAAAAGCGAAAAAAGAACATATATATAGTTTTATATTTATACACTGGAATTACATGTATATGTATTCCATATTTTTTGACTGTTGAGTTTGTACATATTTAGATGTATCATTGATATATATGATCATCTGTATATTTAATTCCAGTATAAGCTGAAGGAAATATTTACTCATGCAAGTAAAGTTTAAAAATATAGTCAGTATTTTATTTTTTCACTTTGAAATAAGAAAATGGAATTTTATTATCTCTTTATAATATTTTTAAGTATCTCAGTATGTATGAGGAAATCATTAGTAGGCTACTCAATAATTTTCTCGATATCTTGTGCAATAGTAAGCATTTATCTTAATTATCTAATCTAGCATGATATTTAGCTCATGTGTATCTAAAGATTGCACAGTGAACTCATGCTTATTATAGAAAACAATCTGATACAGAATAATAAGAGAATTGTAGCTTCAGAATTGCAAACATGATACAGGACAAAATGTTTTCTTTTGTTTTTACCTTATGTTGCCATATAGATTATAAATTAAGCTGCATTCCTAGAAGATGCAAATCAAACACACACAGAAGAATTACACTCAGCTTACTATTACAGTTCCTGAGTTAATATTCTGGCTGAATGTGAACATGATTATTTATGTTAATTTAGTTGAAAAGCAGAGTGGCAATAACAGATGTACGAGTCATATCTTCCACTTGGAGAGCTATTCTAGCAATGCCTTCCACAGTTCATTAGAATGAGAATTTTTAGAGAACACAACCTTTAAGAGAATAAGGAATATTCTGTTGTAATGTTGTAATTGCAAAAGTAATACAGCAGAAGTTATTTTCACTTAACTATGATGCTGTATGAATTAAAATATATCCATAGAAGTTGCAAATTAAATATACAAAGAATGCACTGTCAGTGTTTCTATTGAATGATCCAGAACTGAGGAGACATGTGCTGTTACAGGTGTTGGTGTCCTTTGAAGATGTGGCTGTGGACTTTACCCAGGAAGAATGGCAGACAATGGACAATGCTCAGAGGACCCTGTACAGGGAGGTGATGCTTGAGACCTATAACAATCTGCTGTCTGTGGGTGAGTGAAGTTCTGTCATGCCCAAGCAGAACACTTCTGTATAGTTTGCTAATGAAAGAGGAGTTTATAAAGTGTAGTAGTTGGTAGGACTAGTGGTGATTTCAGAAAATCTGCATCATTCTCCATTAACAGGATACTCCATGACAAAGCCTGATGTGATCTTCAAGTTGGAGCAAGAGTCAGCACCATGGACAGTGGAGAAATCTGTGAAGCAGAGACTTCCAGGTAGGTCAGCAGGGAAGCTGATACTTCTTTCAGTAAATGTTGACTGGAATTATATTTGATTTTTACTTTGAGTTTCTTAGAGAAGGACAGCCGGTGAGACACTCGATGTAAGATACCCGAAGCTTTATTTTAAATTTTTATACCATATTTTCTCTCATATTTCACTTTTAAGTTAAATTCACAATGTCACGTAATTGAAATTTTTACTTTAAAAAAATGGGTATTATGTTAAGGCATTAATAGGTGAGATGTAAAGCCTATTTAATAATGTTCATAAATGTCCACATTTTACTAATATTAAAATATGACTTCACTTGAGCGTTTGAAAAAAAACATTTAGATGTGATTCATACATATTGTTACCCTTTTCCTCATTTCAGATCCTGATGGAAAGAATGCCCTGCTTGGAGCTAATCAAAAATATGAAGAAATAATCTTCAGGTAAGGTTTAATCACAAAAATTATATAAAAACTGAAATGAGAGCTGCATTGCCGCAAAGATGCTTAGCATTAGCTCTGGCCATAATTGAAGCACAACATGAAATGAAAATTGTACAAAAATGAGACTTGAGAAATAGGATTTCATTCTTTCTTTCTGCTTTTTTTTTTCTCCATTTGCAGGCAGTAGTTTTATTTGGAAAGTGACCAGGTGAATGTAGAAAGCAGAGGGAATCAAATAGCCTTTCTTGGGGGAGAGCCAGGAGATGGTGTGCCTCTTGAATGGAGACAGCAACATTTTTCAGAAGGGTCTCAGATTTTTAAGTGTCCCCTGAGCATTCCTTGTCTGGACAGGAACCTGTGGGTAAGACACTTCCCATTGGTTGTCTCTCAACCAGCAAGGAAATAGCTGCTACTACACAGCTTCAAATTTGCATGGGCCATTCTATGGCTGTTCAGCTCCCAGAGATAGGAAGCCACATGAGTGACAAAGTTGAAGAAACTGGCTTTTTCTGAACTCATGTATGAAGTGTAGAGGGGGTCATCCACATAAGTCATTTCTAAAGATCAAACCCGAGGGCATGGCATGGTAGCCTAGTGGCTGGCCCTTGCCTTGCATGCACTGGGATCATATATGGACACTGGTTTGTGCCCTGGCAGTCCCACTTAACATCCACCTCTATGCCCATTGGTGGTGTCCAGAAAAGTGAAGTTCAGAACATGAGAAGGGTGCTTGGAGTAGGCATAGAAAATAAGTGGACCACTACAGTTTCAGGATCATAATGGACAAGGCAAGAAAGCTGTCCTCTTTATTTATACAGAAGCCTTCACAATCTCTAGCACTTACTTTTCACACCTGGTCAAGGGGGCTTTCCTAAGGATAGTTCTACCAATTATTCCACCTTGAGGCAACGTATCAGCTGTCCTAATCCTGTGGTCAGGAAGTTCTCAATAGATGGTACATGTCAATCAGTAACACATTCCTATTACAATTCTGATGCTCCAACTTAGTCTTGATTCAGTTCAGGGAGGAAGTGCATCACAGAAGGAGGGACCTAAAGATTAAGGAAAGAGGGTAAGAATAGATTTTCGCTATACCTAGCGACTTAACATCATTGATTAGCATGTGGTCAGTGTTGGAGGACTACCGTAAGCATAGGTTCCTGCTAGGTGTAGGGACTTAACACCCTTGATTTTCATATGATCAGAGGGGCAGCTGAGGGAGCAGGAATAGTAAAAGGCCCTTTTGCTAAGACGTTATCAGCAACATCATCTTCCAAGCTCACATTGATTGTAAAAACAACTCCACAGTGGCAGACAATAATTAATTTTAGAAATCTCTGTGGAATTGTCCAGTGTGTATGCAAAGGGAGGTGGAACTGCTTTTCAGGTGGTTGTAGAGACATCCACTGGGCCTTGCCATGCGGCAGGAAATTCCTTGCGGCCTTGTCTGCAATGGAGAAGTTCTCTTCAAATCTTCATGTCTTTCATGCCCATATGGGATCCCGGGGTGTGCAATGTGAGGACCTTAACCTCTGCGCCATTGCGCCGGGCCCCCTAAATAAATCTTTAAAAAAAAAAAAAGAGAGAAAGAGCCGGCAGTCTTTCTCAAGTCCCATATTGTGCGCCAAATCAAATGTTACCAGGAAAGCTCAGTGATTCTTTTAACTTGTATAGAGAAGTAGGAGTGTGGAATCAGGTAGAAGGATGGGATTCACAGGAATTGGGAGAAAACAGAGGAGTGGGTCCTTTTTTCCAGTTATACATCCTGCTTCAGTAACCAAGGGTTGGAACAACAATCAAGAGTTACTAACTGGGTGTCCCTACTCTCGAGAAGTGTTTTCCTCTTCCCTCCTCTTCCCCCTGATCATGAGCACTTTGCAAATAAAACTTCTCTGTCTCCAAAAAGATAATTTTAAAAGAATGACTTTGAGATCCAGCTTCTGTATCCACCTCCTGAATGTGATCAACTGGTATTTAGTAGAAACTACACATTTTCTCTGTCCTCACATACACTTGCTGTTCCTGGGAGGACCCAAGCCAGATTGGAGTCCATGCTTGGGACCCTAGGTCTAGCCACTATGCCCATGTGGTAAGCTAGGCCTGGGCTTGCCTGGGTTGAAAAGGCTTCACTGTTCCTGGTGGAGATACTGGGAGCAGATGTGTTGGGAACAAGGTAGGCCTAGGCTCCACCCACCTCCAACATCATGAGGTGGGTGGGACTGGGGGTAAGGTGACTGCATAATTTTTTCATGAGTTGGGTTTCTGTGTTGTGTGTGTGTGTGTGTGTTAGATCATTAAAGAGAAATTGGTGTTATCATTTCCAAATTTTCTATTTTTCCTTCCTGTTTTAGGTCAGGGTTAAATGATATTCAGAGAAGTTATACCAGGCCTCCCAACCGTCCTAGTACTTAAGGATGGGTACTGGGACTCTGAGACCAAACCAGGTGTCAATGTGGCACACTCTCTAAGGTTTCTGTCCAGGTGGTTCTGAAATGAGGTCCATCTCACTGACTCAAGCAAGAGGGAGCCCTTTCAATGTTCATTGGCTGACATGGTTGACCCTAGAGTCTCCTTTCCCCCAGATATTTGCTATCTTCATTTGGCTGGGATAGTTATTCAGTCTGTTCTCTCTTTGTTTCTCTTGAATGGCCCTGATGTGCTTTCCAGGTCTTAATGGGCTTCCATCTCCAGGTGGGTCCAGGCCAGTTGTCAAATACTCCTTTTCAACTGAGGAGTACCGGTCCTTACAAGACCTGAGCCAGTCGATCCTGCCCCAGTGGAGCCCCACCCTCAGTGCTCACTGAGCTAGCACCACCATGCATGCATGTAAAGTATCCTAGCCAGGTGACCTGAGGCCTGCAGCACCATCTACTCCCAGGACTTGCAGACCCAGGACCCATTGCACTGACCAGCCAAGCATTCAGGCCAGGCAACACCTACAGCTCTGGTGTTCATAAACTGGGCTCATCATACAGCTGTGCCCAAGGTCCCAGACAAGGCTACCAGGGCCCCACTGGATCTCCTGCATGCAGGCATCATGAGTCCAGCACCAACATGTCCATGGCTTGCCTCAACTCATTTTCCACCAGCATGTGTTGCAGCCTGGCTCAGTCTAGTCTTTCCCCAATTCCACTTCATATTGCTGTGTGCTGTGGCCTATCCAAGTACAATCCATCTGGAGGTTGAGCTGGAGCTAGACAGTGGCTGGGGAGTATGTGGGTAGGTGGGTGTGTTCATGTTTTTTCAGAGGCATGTGGTACCTAAGGTCATTTACACAGGTTCAGTACAAACCATGTGGAGTCTTCTCTTTCCTAAGTCTACCCTCATAGGTCTTGTATAAGAGCCAAAATTCTTTTTCAAGTCCCATATTGTGCACCAACGAAATGTTACCAGGAAAGCTCAGTGGTCCTTTATTGAGCTTAGTATTGAAACAGAAAATGAAAACCAGTTGTAGAAAAAACTTTTACTTGTTAATTGACCAGTTGGACTTGGAAGAGGGTAGGGGGAAAGCAACTCCCAGAAGGGGATCAGAGATAAATGACATCATAGTTCATTTTAAATCCTCTTATCACACAGCAAGCCGGATGAAATGCCATTTGAAAAGGAGCATGCTTCTAATGTCCCTGAGAACAACCTCGAGAGTGAGAAAAATCTCAGTCATCTTGACAAGATCCACATTTGTCAGCAGTCCTTTGAACACAATGGGAAAGAGAAAACTTTCAGCGGGAAGAAGATAGTCCTTATGTGTGAGCAAGTTTATAGCAAAGACCCATGTAATCAGCAACCTGTCAGTGTGGGAGAAGCAATTCATGTTGGCTACTATAAATCTTGCCTTAGCACCAAACTGAGAACTGACACAGGAGAAAATTTGTATGTGTCCAATGAATGTAAAGAAAACATGTACCAGAAGTCAGAACTCATTAGATATCAGATCCTTCAAAGCAGAGAATCCATATGAATGCAATGAGCCTGGAAAAGCCTTTCACCAGCAATTATCTCTCATTAGGCATCAGAGAATCCACACTGGGGAGAAACCTTATGAATGTAGTGAATGTGGAAAAGGTTTTCGTCATAAGTCAAGCATAAAGTTACATCAGAGAATCCACACGGGGGAAAAACCTTATAGATGTAGTGAGTGTGGAAAAGGCTTTTCTCGTAAGTCGCACCTCATTAGACATCAGAGTATCCACACTAGGGAAAAACCTTATGAATGTAGCCAGTGTGGAAAAGCTTTTATTCATAAGGCACGCCTCATTATGCATCAGAGAATCCACACTGGGGAAAGACCTTATGAATGTAGTGAGTGTGGAAAAGCTTATATTCGTAAGCAACAGCTCACTATGCATCAGAGAATCCACACAGGGGAAAAACCTTATGAATGTAATGAGTGTGGTAAAGCTTTTACCAGCCAGTCACACTTGGTTTTTCACCAGAAAAAGCACAGTGGTGAAAAGTCTCATGAATGTAGTGAGTGTGGAAAAGCTTTTGTTCATAAGTCACAACTCATTAGACATCAGAAAATCCACGCAAAGGAAAAGCCTTATGAATGTAGTAAGTGTGGAAAAACATTTTCTGATAAATCAAGAATTAGATCACATCAGAGAATCCACACAGGGGAAAAACCTTATGAATGCAGTGAGTGTGGAAAAGGCTTTCCTTGTAAGTCACACCTCATTACACATCAGAGAATGCACACCGGGGAAAAACCCTATAAATGTAGTGAGTGTGGGAAAGGTTTTCCTTATAAGTCAACCTATACATCACATCAGAGAGTCCACACAGGGGAAAAACCTTATGAATGTAGTGAGTGTGGAAAAAGATTTTCTAGTAAGTCAAACATTAAATCACATCAGAGAATCCACACTGGGGAAAAGCCTTATGAATGTAGTGAGTGTGGAAAAGGTTTTTTTCATAAGTCACAGCTCATTAGACATCAGAGAATCCACACAGGGGAAAGACCTTATGAATGTAGTGACTGTGGAAAATGTTTTTTTCGTAAGCCACAGCTCATTAGACATCAGAGAATCCACACAGGGGAAAAACCTTATGAATGTAGTGAGTGTGGAAAAAGATTTTCTGATAAGTCAACCATTAGAAAACATCAGAGAATTCACACTGGGGAAAAACCTTATGAATGCAGTGAGTGTGGAAAAGCGTTTACCAACCCATCAGGTTTAGTTCAACATCAGAGGATCCATACTGGGGAAAAACCTTATAAATGTAGTGAGTGTGGAAAAGGTTTTTTTCGTAAGTCATACCTCATTACACATCAGAGAAAGCACACAGGTGAAAAACTTTGCTAATGTAGTGAGTTGGAAAAGGCTTTCCTTGGAATCCACACCTCATTGCACATCAGAGATTCCACACAGGGTAAAAACCTTATGAATGCAGTGAGTGTGAAAAACTTTTTCTAATAAGTCAAGCATTAGACCACATCAGAATCCACACTGGGGAAAACTTTATGAATGCAGTGAGTGTGGAAAAGGCTTTTCTTGTAATCCATACCCTGTTAGACATCAGAGAAAGCACACAGGTGAAAAACCTTACAAATGTAGTGACTGTGGAAAAGCTTTTACTCAACATTTTGCATGGGTCAGGGGCAGAATAGGCTGAAGCAGTTCATGTCATCCACTGGCAAATCCGTGCACCAAAATAGTGTGGGTCGAGCCAGGTTCAGTTGCAACAAAAACTAATGCACTAATGCACAATACGGAATGCCAAGGTGAGGTTACCTGTTCAGGATGTGACTGCAGTGCCCAAACAGCACGTGTGAGAACCAGGAAGGGAGGGGGCGGAGCCAGCAGGGGGAATATGAGGGCTTCCCTTGCTGGATAACTACTTCCACTGGAGAGCGTGAGCTGGGATGATGGCAGACCAGACTAAGCAGGGCTACAACACCTGTGGACCTCATGTGGACTAGATCAGGGAAAAGCCAGGCTGGGCTGATTATTCCTACTGGTGCAAACTACCATTAGAGTGGGTGAGGGTTGTTTGGGCATAGCCACAGCATCAGGTTGCAGTAGCTGGTACTGGGGTTATTTCTGTCAAGTCAAACCACAGAACTACCTGGAGAGTGCACAATCCGGGAGTGGGAGAGGCCTGGGACTGAAATAGTGGACTCCTCCCTCTTGGGTTACCACTTCCACGGGAGGGCACGAAAACTAGGACAGGGGTTGGGGTGGCTAGACAGATACCCAACAGCATTTGTTTGGGCTGCATAGTGGAACTGGTTAGAGGGAACAAAGCTTTAATACCCATTGACATGTACGAGAACCGAATGGGATGTGGGACAGACTGGACTACTGCTACATATACTGGCAAACCAGGGTAGGGGGCAGGCCTGGTGGGGGTTATTGTGGGTTGCTCTGATTAGGCTGCAGCTCCCACTGGTTTATGTGAGGGCCGAGTATGTGTTGGGTAGAACCCGGCTGGACTGCAACACCCATTGGTTCCAGTAGAAGACAATGCTGGAAACAGAACCAACCCAGCAATTGCAACCACCAGCTGATTGGGGCAATGGACTGCGCCGGGCCCTGTACTTGCAAGTACATACAAGAATCTGGTTGGAGAACACCTCAGACAAAGTTTCTTTTGGGATTTCCCCAATCAAATGCTGGACTCGGAACCCTAACCATGAAAAGACAGAGGACAGAACAAGTCAATCAACCACCTCAGCTCTATGTTGGCAATGAAATACTGGGCAAATGGAGACTCTATGATGGACTATGTCAACCAGTGGATTCTTCAAAGACCTCATAGTGCTTGGAGTGGCAAGAATGGCAGCGATTCATAACTGTTGCAATATCAAAACCACTTGAGCAAGAACCTCAGAGCATGCCCTACATCCGGGACCTGGGGAGAGTGGGAAATTGGGCGGGCCTTCTCCCTTAATACCTCCTTTAAAGATGAAGGAACCAATATGGAAATAATAGTCTTACCCACTTTCCTATAGCCCTTGAACCTTTTTACCCTAAATAACTATGTAAAGATTGTAAAAAATATAATAATAATAAAAGCTTTTACTTAGAAGTCAAATCTTATCAGACATCAGAGGGTTTACCCAGGGGAGAAACCTTATGAATGTAAGGTGTATTTTAAAGCCTTTACTTACCAGACAGGTCATTCCACATCAGAGAATCCACACAGGATAATAACCTCATGAATGTAATGCGTGGAAAACCCTGTTGCATGCAGTCATGTTTTATTAAACAGGATTTGCATGTTAAAAGCATGAATGTATTACATGTGTGTTAAAACTGATACACATTTTGAGCACAGTGGAAAGCATACATGTTTCAATAATTAGCATATTCACAGAAATGAGCAAATCATTTTTCTGATGTCAATTGTTAGCAGAGTCATGTACCTCAGAACTACAAAAGCATGTGAATAGACAAGCTACCGTAGACCTGTTATTATGGTCTGTCAGAGCTTATAAAGTGAATGAAACAAGCATTAGCAAGAGTACAAATGCAAAACATTGTAAACGGTCAATGGATGTGGAAACATACTTTTAAAGTCTGCAAGTGTTTAATAAATGTGGAATTGCACTTTATTTCAGCATAGAGATTATTTTTTGCTAAAAGAATTAAGTTGCAAGTTGTATATAATCTGCCTTTGTTTTGAGATGGGAAATGTGAATGCTGCTTTCAGATTTAATGTTGGTAATAAATGTTCAGTGTGTAACACTTGTTTAAAATACCATCTTGGTCATTTACACATTTATCTAATAGAGCTTTTTTTAGAATCTCAAAATGGCACATTTTATTACAGAATTATATTGGAAACACAGATATGGACTGATGCATGTGGCAGTTGTAATGACAAAGACCCAGGTTTGAAGGATGAATCTTGTCTAGAGGCAAGATTGTGTTGTGATATCTGGCCAAATGTGGATCCTGTTTGGCCACTATCCTTGAATAATCATTGTCTGAGACTGCCCTTGGATCTCTGCCTTCTTATATCATGCAGGTTGCCATAGGTCTGTATTTGGTTTATTACCTCCCTTATTTTGATTATTTCTTTTTTTCCTAGTTATCTTGAGAATGCTTTGCTGTTGTTTTTTAATTTTCTTCAATCGTAAGATTAACTGACTTACTTGATGCTTTTCTAGTTTCTTAACACAAGCACTGAGATGAACATTGCTCTTTCCATTGCCTTGATTGTTTCCCGTAAGTTTTGATATGTTGTGTTGATGCCTTCATTTGTGTCAGGCTTTTTAAAAAATTCCCCCTTTGATTTTCTCTCTAACCCATTGCTCATTTAGTAACATTATTCAGCCTCCATGTGTTTGCAAGTTTTCCTAAGCTTTTTGGCTTCTTGGTTTTTCGCCTCACTCCATGATGGTCTGAGAAGATGCATGGTTAAATTTGATTTTTAAAAATTTGGTGATACTTTTTTTGTGGCCTATAAAATGGTCAATTTGGGAGATGGTTCCATGCACTGACCAAAAAAGGAAAAAAGTATATTCTCTTCTTTAGAAGTAAAGGCTCAGTAGAAATCAACTAAGTGCATTTTTTCTAAGGTTTGGGTGAGTTGTGTTGTTTCTTTCTGAGTTTCTGTTTTTTAATTAATCAAGTAATTCTTTAATCTGTCCATTGATGTTAATGTGGTATTAACGACACCTACTATGATTGTATTGGAGTCTGTTTCTCCCTTTAAATCCATTAATGTTTGTTTCACACAGCCAGATGGCTTGGCATGTGGTGCATATACATTTATTGTTGTGGCCTCTTCTTGGTGAATGGATCCTTTGTACATTGTATGGTATCCTTCTTCATCTCTTAATGTTTTTCCATATTGATGTCTCTGTCATTTGTTACAAGAATGGCTAACCCTGCAAAATTTTCCTTACCATTCACTTGCAGTATCTTTTTTCATCATTTCACTTTCAATTTCCTCTGA